TTCAATTTTTGGACCGATCGGATAAAAAGCGGCAAAACCTGGGGGAGTGCTTTTTGGAAGCGCTGTAGTATTCGTAAAAAGTAGGAAGAAAAGTAGCCACTCGCGCATCTTCCTCGCCCACCCACGATCATGGGAAAAGCCTACAAAAAAGGCCTGGGGCTAAGCTTATGATTGCGGCGAGAGAGTGGGAGAAGAGAGAAAAAAAAGACGAAAAACGTTTTCCCGTCCACTCGACCCCCAGGGGATTTGTGCCCTTTGCAACAGCCTGCCCTCTCCTTTTTTCAGATTCCCACCCCGGATTAGGGGCGTTTTTGCGAAAATGGGCAGAGTTAACGGCGCTTTCTGGGGAGTTATATATATTTTATGCACTTTTTGGGTGCTTTTGCATTATCGGGGGTGATTATCGGGGGAAAGCCAACAGATTATCCTGAGGATCAAATTTTTTAATATTAAGAGAGGCGGCTTTCCGCTATTTCTAAATCTCAAAAAGGTTACCAATTCTAAATTTTCTTTAGGCTATAAAAAACTAATTAGAATAGTTTACAAAGCACAAAAAATATCGGTTTTCGACCCAAAACGGGCCAATTTTCGACACAACTTTCAAGTTTTTTAATTTTATATACTTTTCGACTTTAAATATGGTTCGATTGTCTTCAAAACACTATTAAAAGAATTACTATTACGTTACCACACATTTCTGTATTTATAGGAAAATCCCCCTCCCGTTAATGCAAAAGAGCCATTTTATACCGTAGTATTACGAATTATGAATAAATTGATTCATTTATATCTAACATATTTTTCCTAGGAATGCGCGATGTTATAAAAAGGTAATGAAACCAAAGTTTACCGTTTTCCTTTGTATGCACAAAAATTTTGAGGGGGATTCGATGCGGTGGGCAAACAGATGCGCCTCATTACACCCCCACAGAATCTGAAAGGCAAATTCCGGTGCAGCCCTCGAATCAAAACTTTTCCACTTTACCTAGTCGCACAAACGGTAGTTCTCCACAATTTTGCGCAGAATTTCAAAAAATCTTGTTTTTTTCGCACCACAGCGGAATTAGCGGGCTAAACTTCGGATGGCAATACGCTCCAAACTACGTTTTTTTGGCCCATAGCCCTAGATAACTCTACATAATTAAGGCCGAGCCTAGTTTTACTTGGGAAAAACAAAGTCTAATCAAGCCCAGAAAAAGTTGAATCTCATGCATTCGACGTAGTTTGGTGCCTTCCCAGGCTTCCGCTCCTCACAACTGGGGCTGAGTTTGCCCGAAAATGAATTAAATAGCCACAAAGCCTAGCTGCGCATCTAACTGATTTCGTAAGTCGTAAATTCCTCCGAAAATTAGGAGCTTGCGGCTTGTTTTCTTTCTTGGACCCCCGGCTCGTCCCCGTTCGGCTCCGCGCCCTTCCTGTTTACGGCCGCCTTCCCACAGCCATTTCGATTTTATTTTTCGGACTTTCTCATGCCGCGGTCCCCTCCCAATCTTTTCCAGTCAGGGTCACAATTTTCCGTAAATTTCCGATAGATCGACGAAATTTTTGTGATTTCGATCCCCTCAATTCCGTCCATTTTCACGGTCGGTGCGCTGAAATTGTTTTGTTTTCTTGGGGGGCATTTCGGTTGTTTTGCCGTGGGCGGCGTTGGGGGGAAGCAGTGGATAATGGGGCCGAGAAGCACTACTTTTTGCGCCTAAAACCTCATAAATGCATTCGAATTCGCTGAAAATAGGCGTAAAACGGAATTTTGGACGTTCTTTTCTACAACATTAACGAATTTTCTTCTTGGATGTTTAAACTTTTTAATCTTGTTTTCTGCTTTTATAGAAAGAAAAACGAGTAGAAAAGTAGAAAACTAGATAAAGGTTTTCAATGCCATTTAGAAACGTATTTTATCGTTGAACCCCTTAAAATTTTGGTTTTTGTGTCTGATTTGGTACTTTTGCACTATCGGGGGGGGGGGGACTTTTTTAAGGACCGAATCTTGCTAATAGAAATAGCGGAAGTTTCTTTAAACTGTTTTTTTTTGCCAACCCTAAACGTTAAACTTCACTGTAAATAAGTACGTACAAGTTCAACTGTAAATATTTTGAAATGTACAGTTTAAATAACGTAAAGTGCACTGTAATCTAATATAAAAACTGTACAATTCTACCCCCTACTGCCCCCCTCCCCCGCACACGCTTTTTGGCAATTCAAATGTGGTGGTTTTCCGTGGCCCCCGATCGGGGTGAGTGCTCCCCCCCGCGCCAGCGTTCCGAGCCCCTTTTTTTTGGTTGCGGCGGCCGAAAATCGACGGCCTGTACGGGACAATACTCTTGACACCACACTATACCTCGCTACAACCCCCCCCCCCCAGCTACCCAAGATCCAACAGATTTTTCGGCTGGCGGGTTCGCCGGGCCCATATGGTCCACAACGACTTGCTCCTCCACCCAAATGCCCCTTGGGCCCAAATTCCCTGATTCCGCAACACTCCACGATACGATGTGGTTTTAAAGGGATTAGGAAGGTCAGAAAAATCGGTTCTGGCATTATCGGGGGAAGGGCACCAATTTTTTTCTGGGGATGAGCTTCTTCTAATACAATAACAGGAAGTTTTTTATTATTCCTTAACGTAAAGGCTTTACAAACTTTGATACACGAAATAAAAAATATCGATTTTTCGGCCGAAAATGGGCGATTTTCGACAAAAATTCGAAATGTTTGTGTTTTTCCACTGAAAATGATAGCTATTTCATTACTAGGTATTCACGCCCTCCCCCCGCTTAGAGTACAGTCCCGTGCCCTCAGTTAACCGGTAAAATTTTCACTTCAGAATCCCTTTAAAAGTCCTGCACTTTTTCTTTCCGCACCTGAATATATTTAAATTTTATTAAAAACAGTGTTAAAAAAATAGATCCGATTTCTAGATTTCCATCATAGAAACCCTTCTACTTTCTACTCACTATCTTTTGGCTCAAACACGGCCCATCGCTTCAAATTCCTCCAGGAATCCCTGCTAACCTGCCCTCCGTTTCCCCAAATAATCTCTGCTAGATATGCCCTCAAATCTTATCCATACCGTTTCCGGTCCGCTTCCGCTACGTAACCCCCCGACACTTGATCAAGCCTATGCTATTTGTTTTGCCGTGTGCGATCGTGGGTAGGGCTCTCTCTCTCTCTCTCTCTCTCTCTCTCTCTCTCTCTCTCTCTCTCCCTCTCTCTCGCTTTATTTGTGTGCTGCTCGATTCAGCTCTGCACATATAGCAGTTGGTATCTTTTTGCTGCCATTCTTTTATTGGCACTGCTGCCCCCAGCGGGGGTCGACAACTTGGATCGCAAATTGTTCGATCCGGCGGCGTTTTTAGTATTGATGCGTACTCAGGGAAAGGCTAGCAGAACGATGGGGAATACTGGTCTCTTAGCGGGGGTGGAAACCTGACTTTTGCTTATTGCCCTGCCGCCTAAGCGCCCAATTCGAGAAATACAACCCGTTTCTGTAGCTTTTTGCGCCGTTTTTAGGTGTTTTGATTCAGATCTTTGAAAGTACTTGAGTTTGGTGAAAAATTAAAGAAAATGGCCCAAAACGTTGAAGTTTTAAAAAGTTTTATGGGATTACAGTAATCACAAACGATTAAAAACACTAGAAAAATGCACTAGAATGCTAATAAATGTTGCTAAATTAGATATATTTTCCAGCTCTCCGAAATCCCCCCCCCCGCTAATACATCAGTACCGGGCAAGCTAGCAGAGAAAATTTGTCAATTTCTACCTCCTGGCCACTTCCATTGCCAATTGAAACTTGGCGGGGTGCCAATTTGCGAGTTCCTCGCCTCGAAATGCGGTGTTCAATCCTCCGGTCGGCTCTGTGATTTATGTATGTGTTGCGTGTGGGGGTGGCATTGCTCGAATTCGCTCCTTCCCCCCCCACCATCCACCATATGCAAATCGGTGCGTGGTGGGACCAAAAGGCCCCCCTGCGGCCCCATCCTATTCTTTCAGGCTTTCACGCGCCCCGCGAGTGTTCACGCCTTGAAGTGGACGAATTTCTGGGGGCACCCACCCCCTCCACACCCTTCTAAATAATCCCCTTTATTGCCCGCGAATCTCCCACACCCGAATGCCGATTATTTCCGCGTTTTAGCACCTGTTGCGGGCCAGTGTTGTCTAATTTGCAACCTCAAGGTCAACAGGGTTGGTCTCCTGTTTTTCTTGTCAACCGAAATAGCGCACGCTAACGTTTTAATCTAAAAACTGCTTTAAATTCTGCTGTCTCAGAAGCTATTTGGTCCCAAAAACCATTGTTTATTATATACTTAAAATCCTTCCGTTAGCCGCGGAACTCACCGCCATTTTCCACAAGCCTTTTTCGTCCGGAAAATTTCAATTTTTATCCAATTTTTATGAGCCAAAAATCAGCATGTTCGACGCAATTTTTCTCTTTTTTGATGCTTTAGGTTTAAAATAAAAAAAAAATTACAAAAAAAATCCAAATATGAAAGCGGCTCTTAGCTACTTGAGAAAGCTATTCTTTCCCAAGTCTTTTTATTATCTTTTTCGTCATATTATTAGACACTGTCGAAAATTTGCTTTTTTTCGGGTTACCTACAATATGCACACGATTTTTTTTATATAAACCTCTTCATCCTCAAAAAATGTCAAAATAGCGTTGTTAACTAAACTTCATGTTTTTCACCGCAATTTTTTATGTGGTTTTGCTTTTTGATGCTTAGCTAATAATTTTAAAACTATAAAGAGCAAGAACCCGAGCGCACGACCTCAAAAAACCCCCCACCGCAACACCGTTGTGGTCAACTGCCGCAAAGAGCCTGGGGGTCCAGTTTTTTCTGCCTTTTTCTGGCCGAACAATGTAACACCTTTCCTTCGTGCCATTCCCATTTCTTCGTTGCCCGGCTCTTTTTGCGGCTTCTCCTCCTCGTCGTCGAGCTTTGGCCCTTCTTTTTCAATCCCCCTCTCCTGTGCCCATTCGCCCGTCCAAATTCTGTTTCCTTTCCATGGCCCTGGGCTTATTCTGCTCGCACTCGGGCCATGAGTTTGGCATTTTGCCTAGGTTTTCAAGGTTTTGGTGTAGGTTTTAATTAAAGGGCTAGTTCAACTTTTAGAGCTTGGGCTGGTACCTTGGGAAACTATGGACGTAGGCACAGTGCGCCCGAACAGTCCCCCATTACGACAGCTATTAGAGATCGGGGAAATGGGAGAGGCGCAGACACAAAAACGCAGAGAGGGTTCGACTCCGGGCCGCGGAAATTCTTTTGTTTTATTGGCTGAACTAGCCCTTTAATGTGTAGATAGTTGAGGGTGGTGGCTAAAGTGCGCGCCTTCCGAATTTTCAAATGTTTTTATTTTGTTGTTTTAGCCTGAAAAATCGTGATTTTTCCATTTTTCGCCGTCATTTTCCTTATTTTTGTCATTATTTCCCATTAATCCTTCCATTTTCAGCTCCACGAGCCTATATGTGTATTTCGGGATGACGGTAGACAGCCAATACAATGCCCTGCTTTCCCTCTACACCACGGTCATCTCGGATATGAAGGTGAGACACACAAGATATTCAGGAAATGCTTTTGAGCCCAGAAAAACTTAGGTTTATCATGCCAGAAACGCTGCTAGTTTGTTACTTTGAGCCGAAAATCTAGTATTGCTTTTTCAGCATTCATACGGCGCCTGGGAAACGGTGGGGCAACGAGCACAAAAGCTGTCAGCAGCCCTGAAAACAACCGCCACCGCCCTCCAATCATTCACCGACGCCGTACAGGCCGTGTCAGATATTGGGAATAATCTACGAGGTTAGAAACTGTTTTTAGGGTTTTGCAGGGAATTATACGTTTTATGTATGAGCGAGCCTGTTTTACGGCCTTTTTGTGACATGTTCACTTTCAGCACTTAGAAATCGGTTTCTCATAACATGTCTATTCCTAAAGCCCTTTTGTTTACGCGTATTTTTATACCCTTTCTTCAGGGGCCAACCGTGATGTTGCTGCTTGCGTCACCCGTGTGTGTATGCGCGAACGAGCGATGGAAGTTCGGCTGCGCGCGGCTGCAGATGCTCTATCGGAAGATGTCAGAAAACATTGAGTTTTCTTATTTGCTTTTTCTAGTTAGCCCCCACCCTCAATCAAAGAACTACCTACTGGAAGGCCCGAACGAGCGAATTGGAAAAAGCGAACGCCAAGCAGATCAAGAAAGTGGGTATCGTTTTCCTAGGATTTTTTGTTGAAGAAGACCCATTATAAACCCTTTTTAGGCTCGAACAAAAGGACACAATGACGCGGCGTCGATCTCTGCACACCGAGGAATGTGTTCCCGAGCCTTGTCAGAGCAACGACACCAATTCACGTTTTTCATCCAGGCCCTGCTTCCGTTTTTCGTGAGTTGAATGTGACTTTTTTACGAACTAAATTTACTTTAGTCGACCGAGGTGAGCTGGATCGAAGAAGCAACACACGTCGTCCCTGCGGTCGAGGGTCTCATCAACCACATACGCCAGGCCGACCCCACAAAAATCGTCCATGATGTACTCTCCGATCTTATTGACGGTGAGAAAGTACTTTTTTATTAAAGTAAAATGCTTCAGTGGGCGAGGAAAAGACGGCGCTTGTGCTCGACGAATGCCAGCAAAAGCAAAAGATCCACCGCGGAGGCAGTGAAGACCCGTCACCAACTTGGAGTGCGGCCAGCGGTATAATTTGGTTATTTAGCCCTTCAAAACCGTGTTTAGATGTCGCTTCCGGCTCGGCAGAGAGCATCGACGGTCCGGCGCGATTCTATGCGGCGCCCAGCGAGTATGGCAGCCATCAACGGCCACTGACCCGGAAGTCCAGCCATCATTCTGTCCTCTCGAAGGTAGATGAACTTTGGCGGATTTATTCATCTTTTTTTAGAATAGCAGCATGGGCGAGCCGCCAGTGGCCTTCCGGCAGATCGGCGAGCTAGCCAAGCAACGACCGCAATCATTTGCCGGTGATTTGCAGCAGACAAATGGCACGCATGCAGTGGTGAGTTTGATTGCTCAAAAGAATTATTACATGACCGTTTTCTCGATTTTCTGGAGATGATCTTTAAATTTAGTGGCAACCCACGACAACCTCGATAGCTGGCACCCCCTATGCTGCAAATGGCTTCAACGGACACTCTCAAGGAGGCTTCTACAACAACCCCACGACGCCCTCATTTCCGGCAGATACCGCAAAGCGTAATATTTTAATATTTAGCAACAATGAATCGCTAGAACATGAAAACATAGAGTTTTGTTGTTTAACAAATTGCGAGTTACGGTCTCGTGAGTTTCGTTCGTATTTCGTATGATTTTAAGAATCGTTTTGATTGTTGAGAATATCGAAAAAACTTCTTAATCCTCCCGAAATACACTAACTCACAAATTCCTCCCTCAAAAATTCTTTTTAGAAGGCTCCTCAACCTCATCCGATGCGGCGTCGAGCGCTCTCATCGCCGAAACACTGCAACAAATCGACCAGCTGGGCCACGAACTGGACACGCTGTGCTCCCAACACGACGCGCAGATGAACGGTGAGTTATTGGAGATATTTTGCTCATAAAAACTATTACTCTAGGCTCGACTCGACCACCCCCTCCCGCCCCACCTCTCCAAATGCAACGGCCGACCCATCTACCACCCCCCTCCGCCTACAACAACACCGTCCGCATCCGGCAAAGCTGTACGTGGCATGATTTTGTTCCTCTAACCAATTGTTCAGATGATCGATCGAGACCGCCACCTCCGGAACGCCGTGGCTCCCAACTGAGTACCGGCACACCGACAGCCTCCATTGCCAGATCTAGTAAGTCTACAGTTTTTAACATTTTACCGATTACGCTGAAATCCATTATACGCCGACGAAATCTCGGTATAATGTTTTTTGGCGTAATGAATTTTTTTTGCTGCATAGATTTTGGCATAAAGCTTTGTTTTCTTTGTTATCTCATCGATTTAGGTATCCTTGGAAGCCGCAACTCCCTCAACTCGTCGATGACGAGTGCCTTCGACAGTTCTGCCACGGCCGGCGCCAACCCTCTCGGCCATTCGAAGTACACCTTCTAAATTTGTACCGCCGACCCATCAATCAAACGTGTGTGCCTTTCGATACATGCAGTGCTTCCATTCACTTCGCCGCGTGGCTACTAGTGGCCGGAAGCCAGCGGTTTCAGTTGACATCTCAGAGCCATGTGTGTACAATAAATATTCGATATAAAACACATGAGAGCTAACTTGACGTCATATACTGAATTATCGAGCGAAAAAAAGAATTGATTTCTGGGGTAACATTTCTGCCTTTTAATTGATGGCAATCAGTTTGGGCTTTCTGTGAACATTTCGATACCGCCAAACTTTACAAACGAGATTCTCAGAATAGCAAGAAAATCTCAATATAATACCAATAACTTTATCAAGTGATTTTAAAATCGAACATCACGAGGTGATCGAGTAATAACAAAGCAAAAACAACAAATGGCCTCATCTCAACGCAAGGTTCTTATTAATCGTGCAAGGAGGTTTGAGCGGGGGGGCAGGCCCACCGTGCACAAGTCGCAGCGCACGTCATCGGGCTCTTCGAAGCAGGGCTTCTCCATCCGCTGACCACAACCCGGGCATTGATGGTCGACGGCCTAAACGAAAAGCATTTTTGGAAATTTTATGGTCAAAAGGAGAAAGCGTTAGCAAACGAACCTCGATACACTGAAACGTGCAAGCGTCTCCGCATACTTCGGTACAATGATGGCCGCACGACAGAAGTTCCGGGCAGGGATGTTGGCAGTTTGGGCGTTCCTAAATAAGAGAGACTAGAAGTGGATAAATTTCCAAATAACGCCTTTCGCCATCCCCGTCAACTCATTTACATTTTTTTAGATTATCATTTCTTTTTCTATTAATTGAGCGTGATCGAAAGATAAAAAAGAGAAATGGCGAGATATACCTCTTCGAATTCCGCACGAAAGCGGCAATGAACCGTCGCCTGATGGTTAAATGGACAACGCGGGAACGGCAGGAACACCTCCTAAAAATAAAAAGGTTTCTTGGATAAAGCCAGAGTCGCACCCTAGTGCAGATTGAGCAGGCTTGGTGACACAGCTTCTTGCAATCATAGTGGCCACAGGCCAGAGGTCGGTCGCACCTAAAGACAGAGAATTAAAACACAATTTCAACTTACGGCGCTCGACACTGAAGGCTTTCATCGGCCAGGTGGCAGGCAAAGTCGGCAATGTGGCCACATGGCATATTGCGCAGGAGCATTCGGCCGCACTGGCCAAAGTCCTGGAAAGAGGAATTTGGGTGATGTTTTGAAAATAGGGTTCTGGGCTATTAGCGGAGGGGCTAACTTTGGCTTATATCCTGTACATACCGTACATACATAAAACGGTATAAAAACCAAAAATATGGAATGGCTTTGAAACACGAAAAATCGCTCAAATTTTTGCTATATAGGCCTTCCCCGCTAACAGTCCAGAACCCAAAAGATTGCGATTTACCGCCGGAATTGCAAATATGATAAATTCCTCACCTCAGAGCAAATCTTCGTGGCAATATGTTTGCTGCGAGGGCACGCCTTTTCCACCGTCACCTGGCACTGATACTCTTTGTGGTCGTCAACCGGATGGCACCTAAAATTGGGATGTGGCCGGAAATAATTTTCACAAACTTTCGATCACATTGGTGTCCACATGACAAAACTTTCGGGCAAGGCATGTCACAACCACCATTCGGGCACCTCACCTCCATCTCCGACGGCAGTCGAATTTCCTAAACAAAACCACTCTAGACTATCAAAACGAACGGTTACCTGAACTTTGCCGTGAGCGGCACAGCGCACGGGAAGATACTTGCCGATCATGTTGGCCAAGACGAGCTGTGTGGATATTTGTTCGAAGAGATTCGACCCAAATAAAGTTACTGTCAAGTTACCGCTGCTTACCTGCTTGCAATGAAGTCCATGTTGCCGAGGACGAAGAGCCCGTGCTTCGCGCGGGTCCACGCGACACACACGCGATGTTTGTCGCTCAAGAAGCCGATCGTCCCGTCGCGATTTGTGGATCGAACCAAGGACAGGATGATGATCTTGTTCTCCTAAAACAAATTGCTGAATAGCTGCAAAAGTTTAGGCCCACCTTGCCCTGGAAGCCGTCCAAGGTTTCGACGGGAACTTCGGGTCTGCCTTCGGCAGTCGTGCCAAAAGCGGCAGAAACTTCGTAGCGCATCTGAGACGATTGTGCTGCGTAGGTGGAGATGATGGTGATCTCAAAAAATAAATTGTTACAAGAATTCAACAGGCGGTACGGAAATTCTAATCCTAACTTTAGCCATTAGAAAAAAGGATAAATTCGCCTACATCACTCTTCTGGTAGACGCCCTGTTGAAGCAGATAGCGAGTAAGCGCAATCGCCTGCTTCACCTCGTAGTTGTTTTTGCGAGAAGTGTTATCCCAGGGCAGGGCTTCCTCCGGCTCGTCGTGCTCCCAGAAGAAGAGCTAAAAAAAGATAAAAGGTAAGTGTTGCAAAAAATGTAACATACATTCTTGCCCATTCCGGCCACTGGCGGATATTCCATGACGATCTCGTGGTCTTCGAGCCTGAAAAATGAATAACTGTATTTGAGGTGCACTGACTTGTAGTAGAAGTGCGGGCGAACGATGTATTCAGTAATTTCCGGTCGCATACGATGTTGTTTCTAAAAATACTTGGGAAATCATGTTTGGTCAAACCAAGAGTGAAGTGCACGGGAATCCATTGCGGTGAAGACGCTCAAACATCGAGACGTTTAGGTTGTAGCTGCGGCCGAGTTCGTAGTTTGCTAAAAAATACAAGTAGGCATCCCAAGCAAAATTTATACATGGGTTGGGGCGAAGCTGTTGGTGGTCGCCAATCATGACAACGTGTTGCAATGTAGGAAGTAGGGATGCGAGAACGTGGCCCTCCAACACTTCGGCTGCTTCTTCCACGATGAGCTGTCGGCAGTTGACTTTCAGCAGCAAATCACGATACTTGGCAGCGCCAGTCGTCGTAGCACCGATCACCTGAACGAGTAAATCACGGACGAAGAAGACGCATACTAGAGCATTTCTAAGCACATTGGCATCTTCTCGTTGAAGCATCTCCTTCTTCTCGGTGCAGGCATCACGATAACGTGCCATCAGGCGTGGCATTTGTTTCCTTGTGTCATCATACAGCCGAATCCTCCAGTAGGCATATAGTTGCCACCGGCGCTCTTTCGGTAGTGTGGTGATGTTCTACAAACAGGAAATTTATGTAGTAAGAAATATGCAATAACCTTGATTGCACTAGCCTCGTCGTGAGTCAATGGGACTGCTGCCAGTACCGTCGCTTGGACCGCAGTTATAGCCGCACGAATGGCTGGGTCCTAAAAGTTGTATTTTAATGGGTAGCGCCACAATATCACCTGGCACACTTCGATATTTCGGTTGTACTTATTGAGCAGGTCGGTTTTCTTGTTCCTTTTGCCCCACATTATGACCTGCAGGATTAAAAATGCAAATATAAGAATGATTCTTCTAAAAAACCTGATTTTCAAATTGCTTCGCCATGGCGTTGACGTCTCTGCCCAGGATCCAAAAGTCCCGTACTTCGTAGGTATCCTCGACGAACCCAACGGGACTTTTCTTCTTCTAAAAAGATCAAATTAATTAAGTTAAACGGAAAATTGGTCCATTTTTCCCAATCGCCATCGTTCAGAAAAAAACTACCTCTTCGCCAATACCCCATGCTTCACAAGCCGCCTCAAGCTTCTTCATTTGTGCCTCTTTCCGTAGAGCGTCGGCAAGGCGCGCGTCGTAGGCTTCAGGATCTTCGGAATCATCTTCCGTGTCGACAAAGATTTCCGGTAGTGGTGCATCCATTGTGAAATCTCGATTCAGCAGCCAAGCGGCCAGCTTCTCATCAACAGACATCGGCTGACCCTTCGTGTCCAGGTGACCATGGTACTCGCGGATAAACTGTTCCTGATGTTGCCTCGACATGATCTAAATACATCCAAATGAAATAACCAAGAATCCTTACCGAGAAAATGCATTTGCCACTAATCAGGTCTCGTCGAGCCAAGCGCAGAAGAGCCACGGCCTCCCCCAGAGCGGCTTCAGCCAATTCGAAATCTTCGTAGACACGTCTCCGGGAAACTCCTTTGAGTGGCGGCACGGTATCGCGGTAAAAGTCGCACACATCACGTTTCATCAGTTTGTAGTCGCTGAAAACCGAGGTATTTTGAAGTACCAGAAGGATTCAGTGCACCAAGACCATGCCGTTGTCAAAAATCGAAAAATCCTTACTCTTTGATGTAAGCGCTCTCGCAACGCGATCCAAGTCGAACGACCGTTGGGCCCTCGTTATCCGTGATCTCACCGCTTGCCATGTCGTGCTAAATCAAAGGCGGTTGATACGACATTGAAGGTCTCACCAAAATGCGTTCGTTGATTTTCTCGAGGAATTGATCCAGCGCTTGGTTTGTGAAGCAGACGACGATGATCGGCTCACGCACGCCCCAATAAGGACGGCTGGCAAGCATCGCGGCCACGATCTCGACGCCGATGAAGGTTTTTCCAGTGCCCGGTGGTCCTTGGATGATGGCGAACTCGTTGGTCAGGGCGGTTAGCAATGCCTCCCTCTGCGAGAAGTCCATGAAGACGTGTGTGGCTAAAAGAAACTTTTTCATGAGAGCAAGATGGAGAAACTCACGGTCAAACTTTTCGTGGATTTGCTCGAGGTCGTAATCTAACCCGCGAATTCGGACCATCTTCCTGCGCGATGCTGCGTAGATATCGAACTGCGGTCTCCGCACATAATCCTCAGCCTCGTTGATTTCACGGCAAAGCTGTGCCATTTCCGGGTTAGCATTCGCGGCATCAGATTGCGATGATCCGCCATCAAAATCGAGGGTATTCGATTGAGCCTGAAACATTTGTGAGTAGCTGGATTAAAGATACCGTTTTCTTCTGCTTCCTCCGTTGCTTCTTGCTCGCCCGAGCTTCATCTTCGCCATCGGCATGATCGCCGATATGAGGTTTCAGGGCAGCGGCCGCATTTTGGTCTTGAAGCCAAAGCTTGAATTCGGCTTTCTTGCGACGCAATTTGTTCTCGTAGTAGATCTAAAGTTAGCGATGAAACAGTAAAGCAACATCCTATAACTAAAAAGGGAAAATGTATAAGAGAAACCGTACATCTATGTCCAATGGAGGGAGCGCGCGCCTGGCCTCGATGTTACGTAAATAAAGTGGACGTGAAACATTTGTATTTCCATGGACAATGTAAGATTCGAAGGGGACTGGCAGGAAGCGGTTCAGGCTCTAAACCACGATGCTTGATTAATTGAATAAATTCACCTGGATGGCCATCAACACCGGGGTGTACATTTCAAGGAAGGCGTTACTTTCGACGAGCTGGTATTCCGTATCAAGCTTTACTTGAACACTGCCGAGGCCACGATCACGTTCTTCGATCAAAATGATCCCCACTGATTGACGAGCTCGCTGAAAAAGAAAAGCTTCGCGGCCCCAAAAAGATATACCAGTAAATCGTCGTCTCGTTCACCGACAATTCCAAGTAGGATATCGGATTTGAAGCCGTCAGTAGAGAGAACAACCAATTGACCATATGACAACTTGCGGCTCTCAATCACGCGAGAAACCGTGGCATACTAAATCAAAAATATCCTGCGTCAATTTAAAAATAATACCGGGATTTCGGCCAAACGCATCGGTTCTCCGGATCCGCTTTTGACTTGGACTCCACGAAGCCGTACGTCCTGCACGACAAAGAGGTCGGCACTGTATCCGCCCGCATCACGACCAAGCTGGTAGTCTAAAATAAAGTATCAAACTTAAATAGGCGGTAGCAGTCTATGTATTTTTCGTCGCAAATGACAGGAAATCGCAAAGTCAGTTACCACTTACACACAAAACGGCATAAAAATTTTTCTATTTTATTTTTATGTGCCAATTGCCAGAATATCTAGTCAAACTGATAGGGCGAATAATTGGAGCACCAGGGAATCGATAAAACACACTATGTTGCTTCCAAATATAGAGTCCGTTGCGTAGCGTAGAGACAAGGTCCTCTCGAAACAAGCGATAGACAATGTCCAAGTATTCGTCGCCGTTCTTGAACCAGCCCTCCACTTTCATCCGTCGTAGGTAAGGGATGGCACCTAAAAGTGCCCGTTGGAACAGGAAGCCAATGTGACTTTACTTGTATCAGCAATGTCGTCCACGGCAATTTCACTGGAAAGGTTGCGAAATTCGCATGGAGGTTCCGTTCTTTCGCATTCAGCCCACAATGTCCGGTAGGGGGTTGGCTAAAGCAATGAATCACAGTACCCAAATAGCTGGAGAACCTCAGCCTCCAAAGTGGGCGGTAGCTGATTGGCAAGCGGATCGATAAGGCCCTTCTTCAGGGTGTTGAACTCCTCCACCGATTCCAACGTTTGCTTCTCAAGAGCAAAATCACGGCCTCGGCTGCCTTCGATATCATGCTGTATAGCGACTTGATCCTGGAAAAATAGTTATATTGCAGGCCTTCAGACGTATTACTACGTCACTATTTGAGAATCTTAACAAACACCTACATATAGCCGTCCAAACATTTGCTCTAAGTCCAGCCCCATGCTGTTCCGTACTGTGCTAGGCACCTCCTCGGCAATTTGTTGCAAGATGTCAAGCAGGTCAGTCTGAAACGAGCACTCAAAGGGCTGAATAAATTTACCCATGCTTCACCGGTAAGTCCAAAGACGGAGAACAACTCCATCAGGTTCAGCATGGTGCCCAAACAAAAGGCAAAGTAGTCTGGCTAGAAGAAACTTTGTGAAAAATTGATAGTGTTACGTTTCGCGCACAGCATTCGAGCTGAGGAATCAGGCCACCGTGGAGCAACGTGGTGAAAAAGCCGGATCCGGCTACGGCTTGCAGAACTTGAACCGTTCGCAGCCTGAACTCGTCGGCAGCGTTCTGGCATGTGAGCAACAGTAAATGCAGCGTCTTCATGTTGTCTTCGAATCGTTGAAACGGCTCGTGGAGTCGGTTATACAATCCCATGTGGGCGTGTAGTTCCACCACCTAAAACATTGAGAAATATCAAATGAGAAAAACACACGAATCGGGATCTGTCGAGCTGCCCGGTCGCAAAATTATGCAGAGCCGTTTCGATGCCGTTGATGTCGATCAGTTCGCGAATAGGTTCTTCTCTGATGCTGGGCACAAGACCCGGTGGGGGCATTGGTGGTGGTGTAACTAAAAAAAAATTGCTCATTTTAGAGTCGATCGTTACGATATTCTGCGCTCGATTCCACATCTATGTCGGTGGCAACAGCCAAAAACCGCGGGTCATGTGCGAGCGCCGTGTCGATGTCGCCCGGCCGATTTGGGCGACGAAGCGGCGATAGGCTCCTGGGGCGTGAGGTGCTTCCAAAATTTTCTGGGCTTGGACTGCGCGTCGAAGATGAACTAGAGCTATCTGAACAAAAGATGGGCCCGAAAAATCAAGCGCACCTATCGACTCCGGGTTCCTGTATCGAAACCCAAATTGGCATTCGAGTTCTGCGACCGAAGGAAAAGCCGACACTTGTGGTACTGGTCCGGCAGTCGGCGGTGGTTGGCCAGCTCCTAATCGGACTTGCGTCTCGAATGGATGTTGAACGCCAGCAAAGCTTGAGTCCGAGACATTTGGCCAGGGGGCACTCATGCTGTAATTGAAAAATTGGAACATTACAGAATTTTGAAATCTCATCGAAGCTCAAATAGTAAAGTAAAAAGGAGACCTAGATGCGCATATAGGCTTATGGGTATCCCAAAGAGTCAAAGACGAAAAAATAACAACAAAGTTCCTTGCACGAAATGTGATGAAAAGGTCGATGAAAGACATGTGCCAATGGCTCATCTACTAAAAATGCTATAAAACTAATAATAAAAGTTCGATAGATGCTGAATGCAATAAGAAAGAAACAAAATAGGCCTTGTCATGAATCTTTAAAAAAACCTTAAAAAGAATATAATTAGCAGGCCGTTTTTTCCAAAAAAAAGAAAATGAGGAAATCTGAGAATGACTACGTCGCAAACCTATGGACAAATTGTCTGGCAAGTAGCGTCGTGGAATTAATTGCCTTTTTATCGATTTTTAATTTTAATTGAGATTTTTAGCTTTTTTAATGGCATTGCTTCTAATTTGTGACAAATTTTCTTGCAGCTTCTCTGTATTTTTGCCTACCTTATTTTTCTTCCATTTTACCAGCACTTTAATTGATTGCTCATTTTGTTATTCATACCATCTCCTCTCCACCGTCCATTTAGTGTCAATGGCTTTGCGATCGAGAAAGTTTTGGATTTTTCCAGGAAATACGCGGGAGCACCAGAGACAAACACGTTGCCCCCCGGCCCTTCCTTATCGGCACCATCTTCGGGGGGTGTGACGCAAATGGTGCAGCTGCCCGTAATTACATGTTTATGGGCTGCAACAGATTTGGAGATGCGGGTTTGGAAGTTGAATTTTTGAGGTGCACTTGGAAGAAAACTAAGGAAAACTTTAAATTTAGGCATTTAGTGAACGCTCGCAAGGGAACCCCCTATGGTCGAGATGGTGTTTTGAAATTATCTAGCCTGTCTTCTACAGGATTTTTAGCTGGTTCTAAACTTGCTTTCAGTTTTTGCCCGATTTAAAAAGTTATAACTACTTTAAGATCATTTTACGCCCAGGAGAAGGTTTTTTTTGTCCAGTCGATTTTAAAGCCTACCTGATCGAGGGTTTTATTTTGATTCAAATGATATATTTTATTAATGCGTTACAACATCTAGACGTCCGCCTACGGCTAAAACAGTCCCTTATCAGTGGTTTTTGAGGTTATATTAGGGCTCAGACATGATTTTAGTATTTTCTGATTATTCGCAGGTTTGCACTAGCCGTTGCGTTTCTGTTACAGTTTAGGCCTGCCCGACAAAAAAAACACCAAAGTGTACCGAATTAGTACAACTATCTGTTGCATCGGTATTTCAGAGACCCGACTACAGTATCCGATTGCGCAGTCGGTTTTTGGCTTTGATGCTGGGGGCTGGCCTAGCCGCAGGCATCTGCAGAGGGCCCTCCCCCGGATATTCCATTTCTTGTCAACGACACGAGGCGGGCTGTCGCCTTGCCAGTCGAGATAGTGGGTGAAGGGATGAGGGAGCAGGCACGCGGGCTCCGCCTCCCCTTCCACCGCGGGATCTCGCACCTCGACACCGAGTCCTACCTTGCCCGCGCATATTTGTCTGACCTTTTTGCACCTGGTAATAGAAAGGAAATGGGTTTAGCACCATTTTCATGGTTTTAAATTTGAATTATCAGGTTTTAGCTCTAATTCCCGTTGCAAATGATCTTTGCCAGCTTGCCCTGCTTTTGCCAATTTTGGTTTTGAGCTGTTTCGGACGGTAAATAGATATAATCTCTAAAATGAAGCCTAGTATGCAGAAAAATGGGCTATTTTCTTAAGCAGATTGAGTTGTTTTTTGGCAAATAATTTCCGATAGTATTCATGGCTAGTTTCGGACATCCAGTCTTGCCTACCTAATTTTCACCTCCAACCGTTTCCCCTAATCTGCCAAAATTGTCGGCAGCCATGCCCTCGCTATGACCTTTATCTGATACGCCCCCCATTGTAAGCAGAGTTCGAAGCGCTATCCAAAATCTTGCTCTCCATCTCTGGCTATCTCTCTCGCTCTCTCGCTCGCTCTCTCTCTCTCGCCCTGGCCCTCCTTGCGCAATGGTCGGTGCCTACTTGGCCCGGTTAACCAAACAGGGGCCAACCTGTCGCCATCTGGCCGTCTATCCACTATGCACATTTGGGTACATCCTTCTTTTTGCTCAGTCTACCAAGATCCAAATTTTCCAAAGATCAAACGTTTATCTTCTTGTTTTCACTCCCTTTGCCTGTATTTAGCAGTGAAAACTATCCATATCATGATTTTCCTGACCCCTCTTCCTTTGTTCTCGGCTATGCTATGTGGAAAATATTTACCCCCTCTCGATAGTCAGATGGTAGAGGCTTTGAAATGCGGCCTGGCGACGGGCGCTGCCTTTTTTACGAAGCTGATAAGCGACGGGGGCCGGGACGAATTAGCACGTTGTGTGTCAGGGAAATTCGGGGGCTGTGGATCAGAGAGCGCTCGGCAGCTGATTAGTGCTCCACCCGGGGCATTCCCATTCAACCGGCCAGATTATCATTTTTTTTCGTCCGCCCCGTCAAAATTGGTGGAAATCTTGACGTGTTGATTTCTGTTTTCTGATTATTGTAAATTGCCGGAAAGTATCCCTAATATTTTTGTTCAGCCACAACCATGGGCCTCGGTTCGTTCGCGCGGATCCCGGTGGAGATTGTGGTCCAAATCTGCGAACATTGCGATCTGGAGGATGTGTTAGCCCTTCAGGTATGTATGCCTCTACCGGTACTGCACTGTTAGCGGGCGGTTAACTTTGGCCTAACGTTCGGAGAGTCCCAATAATCAAAAACACATTATCTACATTTTAATTGCCGAATAAGTGGACTTAAACGAGTTCTCTAGGAATCCCATGCAACCCTGGGCCTAACCATCCGCAACAACTACTTCACCAAGTTCCAAACGGCCCGCGTCCACTGGATGGAGCAAGGTAAGGCCACCGGCAAAGGGTGCAAAGTCTCTGAGCTTCTAATCCAAATCCCCATCCACCATCCATTTTGAATGAGCCTAGCTGACGGGTCGCCTGTTTCAGGCGGTTAATGGGTGCTCCCTTGTAGCCTCGATCGTTTGCCTGGGCGGTAAGGAGACACGCGACAAGGAGATCACCACCAACTCCCAGATGTGGCGCGACGTCATTCGGCAAGCATCGAGGTGGGTGAAAAGCAGAAGCACGATAACCGCTGATTTTTAGGATCAAAACGCTCGAGTTGAAGAAAACGGACGCCGCGTACCGGAAGGAGATTCTGGTGGCAATGGCTGGCGGTAAATACTTGGTGATCGTTACCAACATTTCTCTTTTAGCGTGGAAATTAAACGATCTGACATTGGTGCTGAAGCCGTCACCTCGGCCCATTCGACCAGAATACACTTGCAAGAATTATAATGTAAGTTTTTCGGTTATATTTAGTTATTTAAGATTATTTAATTTTTTTTTGTAAGAGTTGTACTATAATTTTTTAATTTTGATTCCTACACAGATTACAGCGTACGTTTTTATGCACATTTTTGCGAATTTTTACCGAATTTTTCTAGCGCCTGACACGATTCGTAGAAGCGCAAAAAGGAACACTTAGCCGCCTGGTGCTCGAATCATCCGCGGAATCGCGCATCGAACTCTCCCGGGCGGGAAATGGTGCTCACATCCGCTACAGCCACCAACGCAACATCCCCCTTCATCACCAGCTCATCAACCCGCTTTTCCGGGCCATGCTTACCGGTAAGAGTTTGTTAATTTACGGTTTTAACTTCTCTAGATGAAATATACCTTTTCATTTTCCAGGCGGTCCTGCACTGCTCGAGCTCGACATGACGGTTGCCGGATGTGAGCAGCTGGAGTACTCTCTCCAGAGTGCTTTCCAAGCCGCGCTCCCCTATGACCAGCGCAACGCTCTCCGCTCGCTGCGAATCCATTTTGGGCCCGAGGTATGTGGAACCGACGCGATCGCTAATTAATTACCTTTTTGAAGGTATCAACGCTGTCTCATCGTGAGGTGGATCGGGTTTTGACGACATACGCGCCTACGCTCCACGTCACGCCCAACCTTACGCATATCGTCTGCGATCTCAGCCATTGCTCGGTAAGTCCAGGAAAAAATAAAGGAAAAATTGAGTAGGGCTCTGGTTTGTAAGCGAGGGTCTTTTCGAGAAATTTTTTGAAATGTTTTCTGACGTTTAGTAAGACGAAACTGCGAAAAAAAACACTTAAAATAGCTTTTTTTATTAAAATAAAGATCGGATTGAATCGCCGCAGTTAATTTCCACTTTAAACGCCCGGCCCCCCGCTAAGGAACCAGAACAGCAAATATCTGATGTGAAACGTTCTAAAAACGGGTCGCTAAGACGCTAAGTACGAAACGCTCCGATAGTACAAAGATGTACGGGGTAGCGCTTCGGACGAAAAAACGCAAATTCGGATTAGAAAATTAGTGATTTATGATTTAATAAAATATTCTAAGTTGCAGGTTGAACCATCAAGCCTCGAGGGCATCTTCATGGCAATCTCCAGCGAACTGCGCGGTTCTCACCGAATTTCGCTGGTGACAGCCGGACCCACACTGGAGAAGATGCCAGATGAGACATCGAGACGAGGTTCCGACGCATCCAGCACTAGACAATCCCCCTCATACGACAATAACATTGCCACCCTTCCCCTGCCCCTTCCCATCCAGTGCCGGTAGCCCCCAACATACCGATAGTATTTTGTATCTTTTTGTACAGTTACCCCCAATTCCTAAGTACTTGTTCATTTTTTGTATATTGTGCTCCAAGCCGCAGCGACGGGTTTATCGGCCAAATATTGTTGAGTCCTGCTCCGCAATTTATCATTGTTGGAATGCCCAGGATTTAATAAAATTGGCTTCAAGTTGCCATAATTGAGCATTTAATAAAGTGTAGAAAATCGCAAAAAATTTAATAGAAAACAGAAATAATAGAAAAAATAGAAGAACGATTTGTATAGAATTTACACTGATTGCTGAGATCAAAAGCTCAATGGTCCATAGTTTAGTACCGTGGTTGATGGCTAAAAAATCAAAATTGGCGATCTTTCAAAATGTTTACAATAATTTTAGTAAGTTTTAGCAAGCAAAAAACTATTAAAAAACAGTATAGAAATACACTATTTATTTTTAACAGGTCTTACAGGTTCAACAGTTTTAGAAACTTGAAAAGTGTCTGAAAATGAAAAATTTCCTAAAAACCTATTTTTTTTTAGTTTTAACATGATTTATAGAGCTTTTTGTTTAAATAGTAAAAACCGTATATATGCACTTTTTAGCTTCTAAAGAAACTGGAAACAAAAATAATTTCGTGCGTCCTCCGGCAAAGTCGCGATTTTAGATATCTGTTTCCTAGCTCCTAGCTTTTGCTATTTCGCCTCCGCTTCTCGATTCCAAAAAAAGCAAGAGCCATTGGCCCCCCCCCCCCCCTTTTTTTTTTTTTTTTTTTTTTTTTTTTTTTTTTTTTTTTTTTTTTTTTTTTTTTTTTATTTTTTTTTTTTTTTTTTTTTTTTTTTTTTTTTTTTGAGTTGTGTCCCCGTTGCGTTTGAGAATCGCGAGGAGCACCACCCCCTTCAAAAAGAGAGAAGAAGTCCATCTTTTAAAGTGGAGCCCATTCCCCCAGGGGTGCCACCCCACCACACCCCCACCAACACCCCCATCCCCTTTACTCTCACAATCTCGAAAATGTTGCTCAACGTCCAGGCCATCGAGCGTCGGGGCAGTCGGTAATTTTTTTATAGGTTGGATATTATTTGGTTCTGGGCTGTTAGCGGGGGGGGGAGGAGGAGGTCATAGCGGGGGTGGAAACCTAACTTCGGCCTATCAAACCATAAGACCCGAAAGACGAAATATTAAAAACCATTTTGGTAGTCGTAAAGGGCGATTAAAATACGTTCTGATTCATTCATTACACCCCCCCGCTAACGAATCAGTACCGCATTTTATTTGCATCGGAGGGGACGAGCTTCATAACGCTAAAATACCTAGTAACACGTAAAAGTAAATCGTAAAAGTAATTATTTTAATGGGGATTTTAGTGAAATTTAACAACTTTTCGATTACAAAAACGTACCGTGATGTTCGAAAAAATGTGAGTTTTGGCCATTAATTATGAAAACGGCGAAAATTTTGAGTTTTTAAAATTAGGTATATCGTCCAGAATCGTTGTTTTACAACCCTTTTCTAGCACAGATCTGAGGATCAACCCGCGACGCGGTTCCGGCGAATCGTTGTTGCTTGGATCGCCAAAGTCGTACTATCGTGCCCTATCACCGGCCGAATTAAGGTATGTAGTTTCTGACCCGGTTCTTTCGCATTATCGGGGGGGGGGGTATTTTTCCTATAAATTCAGAATTCCCTGGTAACGTTAAAATAGGTGTCCTATAGAGTTTATTCCAAAATTTAACGCCATTTCTAGCCCAAAATCTATAGAAGAACTTCAAAACTTTGGACATTTTGGGGGAAAATTGGGCATTCTTGGTCGAAAAATCGCAATTTGTTTGTAGTTTTTGATAATGTAAACGCTTAGGAATGGTAAAAACAGTTTAAAAACACTTCTTCGATTTATATTAGCAAAATCCCCCCCCCCCGATAATGCGCAAGAACCGGAAAATTCGGCGCTATCAAAAATGTGTCAGTTTTTGCGCCCCAATAATCTCGCCTCCATCCATCCCCATCGTGACAAGGCCAAAATCGTGGTGAGCCTCCTCCGTTTCTACGAAGGTGTGGAGGGCGAGAGGTCCCAGAGCGCATCACTCACCCTAGCCAAGCCCCCCAAGCCATTTCTAAAGTTTTTCCATTTGCCAACATCGACCCGCTCGTGCTCCCCGACGGACTGGCTAACCCACTAGTATTCGACACTAGCCGTTACTGACATCTGGAAGTCGCTCCGGATGTGGTTTTTCAGGCAGATTGATCAACAGGTCGAAAGGAGGGACTCGACAATTGAGAAGCGCCCTCTTGCTCCGCCACAGCGTACCGTTGTCAATGGACCGGTGGATGCGGATGCGGGCACAGTTCTTGTAAGTTTCCCGGATTTTTTTGGTGTGAGTAACTATCAGCAGCTTAATAGGAAGTATTTCCACAATGTTTTTAGTAAATAAAACTATATTTTAACCAGAAAAACTATCTAAAACTAGAAAAATGTTTCAAAAAAATCGAAATTTTTCGCATTTTGTAGTTTTTTTTCTTAATAATTTCTTAATAAAATGTTGTAAAGTTTTGACGTTTATGGATAAATAAAAGACAGTTTAGAAGATTTAGAGGTTTAGTTTAAAGTTTTTACCGTTTTGGATAGTAAAAAAAAAATAGCTAAAACACTTCCTGTAAGCAAAATTTGGTCTTAAGCTAACACTAAACCACTTGAAACCCTGAATAAATCGTCGTAAAAAAACCCAGGTGGGCATCGGACGAGCGGTCATCGCTCGCCTGCTCTTCATCGTACATTCCGTCGCAACCGTCTGGGCCACCGTCACCGTTCAGGGTATCGTTGCGTAGCCCTAGGATTACTAAAGAGATTGCAGGTAGCGAATCTGTATGGGTTTTCGCGTTCATCGTGCTGCTCATCATCTTCGAGGGCGCGTACACAATCGTCATGCGAGCTGGTGATGAACGTCGATGGTTTTCTACTGTTTTTGGCCACGTTACCTGGGTGTTTAGGTTCTGCACGTCCGTTTTCCTCTACGTGCTCGCCACTGCGCCACCGATTTGGCTGCTGGAGATGAAGATGTGCGAGTGGAGGCGGGAACGATTTGAGGGCGTTCAGCAGACATCGCTTTATCGTGGGTTTTCTTTGATAGTTTTGATATAAGCGTTGAAAAATGTTAAAATGCTCGTTTTGGATACTTTACAGGTATTAAAAATCCTCAAATATGCTACGAAACTTTCTTTTCGAAATAATGGTACTTTCGCAAACAGCAGGTGCGACCGAATTTTGTCCTATGAGTCCAGAAATTCCTATAAATTTAATAGTAAGCATTTTAATAGTGTTTTGAGTACAAATGAAATAAAAAAAAAAAAACCACAAAATCCCTAACCTAAACCCACCACCAAAAAACCAAAAAAACAAAATATAAAAAAAATATTTCCCCAACCATAATTTACCCCCAACACCAACTAATCAAAAACCCAAATCCCATAAAACCAAATTCACTTTTAACAAAAATCCAAAAAACCCCAACACCAAAAAAAAAAAATAAAAAAAAAAAAAAAAAAAAAAAAAAAAAAAAAATAAATTTTTAAATTTAAATTTTTTTTTTTAATATATTTACTTTAAATTTAAATAATATTTTTAAAAAAAAAAAAAAAAAAAAAAATTAATCCATGATTCCTTTCAATTCTCCCTTTCCCAAATTTTATTTTTTTTTTTTTTTTTTTTTTTTTTTTTTTAAAAATAAAAAAAATACAAAATTAAGTTTTTTTTTATTTTTCATATCCCAACCAAAAAAAATTAAAAATTTAAAATTTTAAAAAAATAAAAATAAAAAAAAAAAAATAATAAAAAAAATAAAAAAAAAAATTTTTTTCTTTATTTTTTTTTTATCATTCTTCCTTCCTTTTTAATATTTCCCACCCTTCATACTTAAATATTTCTAAAACTAATCCTTCTGTTATTCAAAAATAATTAAAATTTTTTTTTTTTAATTTTTTTTTTTTTTTTTTTTTTTTTTTTTCCCTATTATTTTTTTCGAAAAAAAAAATAAAAAAAATATGTGAATTTGAGTTATTGAAATCGCAACACAATTAAAAAATGTTAGAGACATTCTTTAGGGAAATTTTGACCAAAAATCGGTCGATGTAGCATGGAAAATCTATGATCTTGTGTTTTTAATGTCGAATAGTTTAGAAACACTTCCGATATTTTATTGGAAAAATCGATCCTTAAAAATTCGTACCCCCAATTGCAAAAGAACCGAAATATTTTTTAGCTATTCTATTAGAACGAATTTTTTTTATGGTTTAACATACAAAAAAGCCGGAAATCCGCAACGTCACGTTTTTTGGGACTTTCTATAAGAAAACTACTTTTTTTGGTCTATAGACGTTAAAAAGCGCGGATAAGAAACGACACTTTTTATTCGAAACGCCAATTCCAAACCAAGACTTCAAACATCATTCTAAAAGCCGCTTCAACCCGAATTTCATGGGCACTAAACCGGGGGTGTTGCTTATCTTGGTTTCACCCTCGACAAGCCAGTGTCCCGGGGTGCATCGCTCTTCTAGGGGCCCCAAGGCAGTGTTGGGCCCTCTGATGTCCGCGGGCGCAGCGCACAGCTTATGGCCCGGGATCTCTTGGGGCCCACTCACGGCGCTTCTTCACATCCATCTCATACACCGTGGTGTCTCAGTCAGACATTAACGCCACAGGAGAGAGAGAGCGACAGAGACATACATGCCCATATCCGCGTTTCGACACTCCATCAACGTCCGTGTCGAAGTTTTCGAACGGGGCATATATGGACGCGGAAATATTCCCTAGAAAAATGCGGAGCTGTTTCGTTAGCGGGGAGGGGGGCTATTTAATTGCCTTTATTTAACCTAAATTTAGCACTCGCAAATCTTTCAAAATGGACAAACCTTTGACCGTTTCTGCTGTATTTTTGCAACAATTAAACATTTTTCGAGAATTTTTATCGTTCTAGGTTTAAAAAAGGCATGAAAAATTATGGAAGGCTGTTTAAAGGTCATTTAAATTTTATCTAAAGTTCAAATATAAAAAGCTTATGAACATTAAGAATGTTGGGAAAAGTTGCCCCCCCCCGCGCTAACGAACCAGCACCGAATTATTCTAAAAAAAGGAAAAAAGAGAACGCACCAATTTTAGTTGACGACGACAACGAGCTTCGCCTCCAACTCTTGGAGCAATTGATGCTGGTCGTGCTCATCATTGGCCGGTACGCAATGAGACTCTAAAACCGAACTAACCAACCAACAGATGGCTTCTCCCTAAAGGCAACATCAGCCGCGAGCAGCTCAGCCAAATTCTACTGGCTTACCTGGTTCAAAATTAACAAAATTGCGTACCCGAATTTTAGGCCATATCCTCCGACATTGTCGAATTCTTCGACGTCTTCAAGGAGCGCGCCGTCTTTACGAGCCAATGGGTTCAGGTTTTGGTGTTGATCCCATGGACGGTAGGTAGAAAAACTGTAGTTAAAAAATCCGTTTAGCTATCCCTGCTACAATTCCCATTTGTCTTGACGGTGTCGCGGGCTCGAAAAATGCGCGTGGCCATCACCAGTCCGTTAGATGAGATCGCGATCCCGGAAAGGCCGGATGTTTCAAATGTAAGTAGAACAACCAGCGGCGACGTGATATGATATTGTTTTTAAGATATGCAATGATGTCGATATCTGGGCTATCGTCTTGGCAAACTGCTTGCAGGTCTCGTTTATTACTAAAAATCGGTTCTTTCGCATTATCGGGGGACAAACATTTTATATGGATCCAATTTTCTAATATAACTAGGGGAAGCTGTTTTTTTTCTTAATCCTAAACGTAAAAACTTTACAAATTTTTATTATAAATACAAAATATCCACTTTTCTAACAAAAATAGCTCATTTTCGACCAAACTTCCAACCAAAAAATTTTTTCTCAGTTTTTAATTGTTTTTTTCCTGTTCAATTATAGTTAATATAGTTAAATGCTACTAAAAACCCTATTAAAATACTTATTATTAAGCTAATGAGTATTTGGACTTATAGGAGAAAATTAATTCCCCCCACCGATATTGCAAAAGCACCCGCAGATGCTCTAAAATTGATTCATCCCGAGATCAAGGTGAAGGTAACTGCCCTAAAATTCAGGATATTCCCTTCCTCCTTGTCCGTCTATACCTAATGTTTGGCCGAGGGCTTATCACGTACACGATGCTCTTCTTCACGTGCAAAAATGCGTTGATCATCGTCCTCCAGACATATCGCGCGTTTGTCTTGATCAACGACAGGTCATTTCATAATGAGCGCATCTTTATAACCCATTTTTCAGATATATAAAGCCCGCCAAAGGTGAGAAAAAGAAGCGCCAACATCGCCATAAAAGCGCGCCGAAGCGGAAGAAGCAAAGGCGCGAGGTGAGAGACGAGAAAACGCTTTAAATCCATGTTAGTTTCACCGTAGCGAGGAAATGGAACATCTATGCCCTCCGCCCGAGTTGGAATTTGTTGAAAGAAGCCCGAAGCGAGAAAACCGAAGACGCCGAGAGCCTGAATCCGCGCCCCGATCACCACGCGGTAAAAAAACCAAAAAAAGGACCTCGAAAACCCCTCTTCTCTAGCCCGGAAAGTTGAGCCTCCAGAAGAGAGGCGCGTCAGCAGGAGACGCTCCAATAGCAAGCGGGCCACCAAGAAATCGAACGGTTGGTGTTGAGATAGAAAATCAAATTCGATAATTCAGAGAATGAACGGCGGACGCGAAGCGCCTCGCGGACCAGCCCCCCACAAAACAAGGACGAGCGCAGGACGGGGTAAGTATCTTTGAGTCAAAAAGTGTAGGTTTTTAGGAAGTCGATAAATAGACGAAGTTCGACTGGATCGCGAGGGAACCGCATTCGATAAACGTCCGGACGAACTATTTTTGTATCGCATAATATTGTACAAACAAAATCAATTAATAATAAAAAGATTCAGTCTGAAAGAGCAAGCGCGTCGGCGGAAAAGCGTCCCGAATAGCTAAAAATGAGGCATTCAGCATTCCGCAATAAGCAGGGGTGAGATATAAACAGCTCAGCAAAAACCTAATAATTTTGACATTTTTTAATTTTTTTTGGGTGAAAAATGACGAAAAAGTTTTCGATGTAAAAAATGTTTCGAATGATTTTTGTAACTTTATAGCAATCAAAAACTACGAAAGACATTACAAAAATTTATGATTCACATGTTAGCATAGACCCGCAACTTTCTTCCTCTCAACATAATTTCATCGTTCTGGCGGTCTTTCGATTTCCATGCTCAAAAAGCTTGAGTACAGTGAAGTTTTCGAAGTCAAACCGGCCTTTTTCGGGAAAAAACTCAGGATGGTAAACTATCCGGCGCCCCGAAGGAGAGCGGAGCGTTGCGGAAATACCGTAACGCGACTTCGACTTGGGGAAGGAATTTAGGTTTTTTGGCCTTACTAGGGAGGTATCTGAACTCGGCATCGAACTTGGAAGTCAAATACACCATTTGACGCCCTTGTCGAGGATTCAAATATGTAATAAAATCAACCAGAGCCTATAACGATAAAAAGTTATGAGCATTTTAAGTTTTGCAGCGAAATCGGCCGCGGCGATATGGCCCTCAGCGCACCCTGTTCATCGGCCCCGTGGCCTAGTGGTGTGCGATGGGTCTCCGGTCTGTACGACCAGGGTTCGGATCCTCACGATTTTATTTTTTGCTTTTGACCAGTTCCTACTTTTGCATTTCCAAACTCGGGAATAAGTTTTTCTTGACTGTGTGACCCCTAAAAGACACCAGCGACCTCGGTGGTGCCTTTTAAGATAAAATAACCTCGGGCAACAAGACCAGGATTGGACGCTCTCTATATCAAGTTGGCAAAATCATCAAAAACCGCCCTTTTAAGACTCTGTACAAATTCGAAAAATGTAATTTGTCCAGTACATCTTGATCAGCAGAAAATTCTCTTTCGAATGGGCTATCTTACATAGGCTTTACGCGAAATTCTCGAAGCGTCTTCGGCAAGCTGGCCATACCTACCCCTTACGCCGCATTCCAAAAATATTTTTTACGGAAATTTTTGGCAGCCGTATGTAATATAGCTCATTTGAAAGAGCTTTCTTTGTTGAATAAGGAGCACTAATCAGTTTAGGCTAAATTCCATTCCACGGGATGATACAGGGTCTCAAAGATACTGTTTTTCGCCATTTTGTCGACTTCGAATGCTCATAACTTTTTACGGTTATAGGCTCTGGTTGATTTTATTACATATTTGGAATCCCTCGACAAGGCGCGTCGAATGGTGTATTTTAGTTCTCCAAGTTCGATGCCGAGTTCAGATACCTCCCTAGTTAGCGGTTTCACAGTGAAATGGCTGCCGGGATTCTGCCGGGTGGCAGCCGGGAAAAATCGCTCTGCCGGCTGGCAGCCGGGATCTTGCCGGTTTTCTGCCGGAGTTTTGCCGGGACCTCTGGCAGAATCCCGGCTGCCGGTTGCTCGACCTGGCAAAAAGCCGGCGGCCGGGTTCTTGCCGGTCCGCTGCCGGGTCTGCCGGAATCCTGCCGGCTTTCTGCCGGCTGCCGGGATACTGCCGGATTCTTGCCGGTGTAAACATGTATTTATTCGTAGCCCTACCCCAACTTTCGAATTTCTCGGCTTTTCCCTATTTTCGTTCCGCGTTCAGTTTCTTCTTTCATAAATTTAGATTTTTAAAGTTCTTCAACAAAGAGGTAAGTATACAGCTTATAAAAACGTTTGATGTTTTTAGACGCAGCCTGTGAATTGGTACTAGAGTTTTTAGTTTGATATATGGCAACACCTTTGATTTCTCCAAATTAATGGAAGTTTTCAGATAAAGTTTATTTCGATTCAATATCTGCTGCCGTCTTTCTGGGTTCAATGTGCCTGTATGTCAAGTTAAAAGGAACTGCAGACGAGCCAGGTATTTCAGTTTCATTAGCCTTTAGGAAGTTTTGGGCTATAACGAACCAGCCTACACGTTTACGATATGCTTCGCCAATGTGACGAAGTAACTTCAGGAAACAAGAGAAGTTTAGTAAAATCTAACCGTTTGTTTCTAGATAAACCTGTAGTGAGAAAACTGCGCCTGCTTTTCGTATTCAAGCACCGTGGTTTTAAAAGTATGTTTACTATTAAGTTAAGTTTAATGGGTTTAAAAACTCATTAACGCTGAAAAAGGTTAAACTAATGCAAGTTTACAGGTTGATTGTTGCTCGAACGTCTACTGCCAAGTCTCGTGCTTCGAAAAGTAAGTGATAAACGAAATTAAAGACAAGATAAAGTACTAGTATATTGGCAAAGATTACAGGCGTCGCCTACGTTGCAATCGCGAAGCGGAAGCGGAAGCATTATATTGGCAGAAGCTCGGCAAATGGCCGGCGAATAACCGGCAGGATGCAGGCAAGAACCTGGCAAAAGCGATTCGTGAAGAGCCGGCTGTGCCGGCAGAAACCCGGCTGCCGGGTTTTCGCGGATGGCAGCCGGGTTTTGCCAGATGGCGGCCGGCTGCCGGCGGCAGCCGGATGGCAGCGGCGGCTGCACCGGCAAGAACGCGGCGATTTCGGCTGCACCGGCAGGTGCCGGATCCTGTCTTGTGTTTTTATTTCCTGATGAAGCGCCATGTTGTTGAGTTTTTTTTACTAAAAAAACCAAGTTCCGCGCGTTGTTGATTTTATGTGCACTCGGCTTTGTTAAAGTGCGTACTTTCTTTTATACGCGAGTCAAGACGGCACGGAGATGCAAAATTTAAGCCTTGATAGCGCTTTTCGATTCCTCACATAATAAAGGACATTTTGACGTGAGCATCATCGAAAATTAGCCGTACGAAGCTTTCTAGGGTATTATAAGGTTTTTTGGAGCTTTCCCCATTGCTCAGCGCGAAACCTTCGTGCCTGCTTCTTCTATCTCCTAGCGCCACGATCTTGTAGAATCTATTTAAATTAATATTATTCTGCCGCGTTTTCTATAGATTTGTTATCTTTTCACCCTTATCAGCCTGGCTCCGCATAGCTCTAATTTATTCCATCAATTTCAGGAAGCACTCCTTATAACATGGGCGACGTAGCCGAACAGCAGCCGATGGAGGTGCAGCCCAGCGAAAGCCCGTTCGAGGAGCCAACACCGGTAGAGGGACCCGTCTTCGCTTTAACTTCCTCATTTTAGTCCGATACCCCGTCATCCGATGCACCGCCATCATCGACGGGCGCGGTCGCCGACAGCGGGGAGGAGGCCGAAGGCACCAAGGACCCGCAAGCCCCGCCGCCTGCTACGATTCTTCCTGCAAAGTAATACGAAGTTTTGATATAACCTTTTCGGTTTAGTCCGACTGCCGTGCCAGCTGAATCTGAGGCGGGACGTCCGACCGGCGCTTCGACCGCTACAGGCCTCCCGACGCGCCAATTCCTCGATCAGACCATCGTGCCAATCTTGCTGCAAGGACTAGGTAAACTTTTTGACCCTCGTAGCGAAGCGATGACGAATCTACGGGAATCTGTTTTGGGTTCTGGTTCGTTGGTTGAATGGGGGTTCTAGATCACTTTTGAGGCTCAATAATGAAAGCTAGACTATATTTTCCATTCCTAACTTTTTTGAAGTATACAAACATTTGAAAGTTCGGAAACCATAAGAATTTTTGACTTACTGCTAAAAGGCGTAAAACCGGCCGAAAAGTCCGCAAATGTACAAACGATCCGGCATCTTTTTGGTAAAGTTTTATTACCGCAGCTTATCTCGAAAACGGAAACTGTAGCCCTAAACTTTGTTTGGCGCGCCTGTTGGTCAGGTTTTATCTTTAATTTTTCGCTTTTCAGGCAGCTTGGCGAAGGAGAGACCAGAGGATCCGATCCAGTACCTCGCCGACTTCCTGCTCCGCGAGAGGTCGAAGTATACTGGCTCAAGCACTGGCGGCCCGAGCACAAGCGCCTGAAGTTACGCGGCAGCTGAATTCCAATTTCTCACTTTACCCCGTCCCCCATTGGATGCATTCTTTGATATTTTGTTCCGCTGCGTCCCTCCAAATTCTGGCCTACCCGTTTGCAAATTTTGTCATTGCTTTTCGTTCCGACATTGTTCGTTTTTCAATAAACATTTCACGCCGTATTTTCGCTTATTTCAGCCACAGCTTTATGGCAGCAAGATTATCATGGATTTGGCTTTTGAAATCATTCGCTCTGCGTCGCAAAATACTATTCTAGCCCAAAGTGTTACGTATTCTGATTTCATATTGTCAACTTTTAGGCGTCCGGCCACTACCCCAGAAAATGCCCGGTTGTTTTGGATTTACCGACAGCAAATAAAAAATTGCGCATTATTAGCGGCGTGTTAGGTTTTTATAACAGTTTCGTCATTTTTCGCGCGGTTGCGAGACCTTCCACCCGGTTCAGTTTGGATGTTCGGCCCGGGCCGATAGCAATCCTACATGCAACCCGTGTTTTTTCAGGCGAATGGATCCACATCATCGTGAAGAAGCTTGGCTAAATCAATGCATTGCACTCGATCGAGCACTCGCGTGTGGCAACGCACCGGTACTGCGCGACGCTCCGATACGTGAGCCAGACAAGACAGCGGTCCTGAGCAGCTCAAGTAATTGCTTTTGAAAAGCTTTGTTATTTGAAGTTTAGATACGTCGGAAGCGACCCCAGGACAGGCATCAAGCTCGAATGAGAACAAAGCCGGCGCCAAATCCGATCGGCCAAAGGATTGGGTGAAGGGATTGATTCGGGACGGCCGCTGCCTGTCACGTCCATCAAAACAGCGGAAGCCCTCGAAAGTCAAGGGCGCCAAGACGAAGAACGGAAACCTTGCTCCACACGGTCTCGACCAGAACAAAAATGATGCTATCGGCGTGTCGCCTTCGGCCAGCGCTCGCCGTCGCATGGCTGCCGATCATAACATCTTTTCCTCGGAAAGCGACGAGGCACCGTTGGCGCACGGCGACGGACAGAAACCGAACGATTTGACGGTCGCGGGAGATTCTGGAGCAAACCGAGACTCCTCCCCCGAACTCGTCATCCGGAGGCCCGCCTCTTCTAAACCTACTACGGCTCAAAAGAAGGAAGGAGGGTCTGGAAAACAACTGCCTCAAGAGGGTCCAACCATCCCGGGAACCGAGCCGACCCGAAAAAAGCTGAAGCCTCTGAAGCTGGTTGATGCAATAGCAGCGGCGCCAAGCACCATCAGTTCCTCGAAGCACCTGGACGGGCATAATGGGTCAACTATTACATGCAAAGCGCCGGCTGAGCCGGCTACTGAGAAAAATGTGCAAAAGCCTGACATCAAGAGGGCGGCGAATGTCGACGAGCCTGCAACACCTCAGCCTGATTCAGCAATGAAGCGCATCAAACCGGCACAAGAGGTGGAAAATTGGGTTATCACCGGTACGTTTTATTGGTGAGTCGAGGATACTTTCCCTTTAGATCACGCAAAGAAGAAGAAGAAGATGCCTGCCGATGCGCAAATCGAACTGCTCAAGAAAATGACGGCACGAGTTGCCCCTTCATCCAAACGACCTGCTATGAATAATGGCTTGCAAGGAGGGACGAATGATGGTTCTTCGAAGGGCACTGCCGGTAAGATTTATCTATTTGCCATACATTCTTTTTCCAGCGAAATTGCCGAATGTACCGCCGATGCCGGCTGCTTTGGGATTCCTGAATCAGGGCGCTTTTCGACCGCTATCAACTATGAACACGGTATCTGCGCCAGAAACAGCCGGTGCCTCGTCAAATCGTTCGCATGCATCCGACGGGTATTTGGATAGATAACTTTGGGTTAATTGATTGCCTAGGCTGCAAAGCTGTCTCAAAGGAAGTCGTAACAATGAAGACGAAAATCTAAAAAGGAAAAGGAAGGCGGCTCAAGAACGTGAGAATGAAGCGGAGGCCAAACGGGTACCTTTAATGGATCTAGCTTTTATTTTCTGGACTACAAAGTATTTAATTGTCCCTTTTCGTTTAGGTCCGATTCGATTCCAGCCAATTTCCGAAGGTGTTCGATCGGAACCAAAACATCGGCGATCCGTCATTGGGTGCCGCGAAGATCCAGCCTGCTGAATCTGAATCAAGATGTGGTGTCAAGGATCGATATCGCCGGTATTCATCTCAATTACTCGGTTTATTTGTTTTTAGAATCAATCCAGCTGAAATGCTGCCTTGCCAACCTTCACCCTACGCTCCCAGGCCATCAACGAACGAGCCGATGCGCCGTCATCTATCGCCTCGCCAGCAGCCATATCGTCGGCCAGAATCGCCTCGCCATGACGAGAGACGGCGTACACCAGACCCAAGAAAGCTGACTGTAAGCGATTTTGCGAAATATTAGGGTTTTCACAAAATTCTTCGTAAATATTTGCTTCAGGACATGGTCGCGGCCAAACTATGCTATGACGTACGCCTGACGCTGCCTATCCAATACAGTGACCACGAGGATTGGCGCTTGGTCAGCACCCGTCAGCCTGTCAAACTCTATTTTAGGTCGAAGATGCCCGTAGGTGCAACTACAAGGCTCTCGCGTGCGATCGAGAATACGGAAGAAGGACCCGATCACCTCCACCAGATCCATTCCGCGGCCAGCGTTACCGCGACTTCACGGACATTGGAACGATCGACTTCCCCATGCGCAACCCCAACCTGGGAATTTTCTCGCCGATTTTCGATGCAGTCGACACTGTGAAAGATATACATATAGAGTTTGTCCTTCAATTATAATTGTTAGAAGATTTTTGCAGTAATTGGTCTGCCATGCCTGTTCGTACGTTGCTCGCCGACAACTCGCATGAGGCCTACAAATCTCGCCAGCTGGTCAGTCGGTTTTTTTTGCGCCGAGCTGTGTTTCAGCGTTTCACCGAACAGGCCACACCAGTGATGTCACTGCGTGACTGCATCCAGCGGAACATCGACGAATTGTCCCCAAATTTTTCGAATCCGCCGTCACGTTTTGCCGAGCAAGGGCCGTTCCTTTATCGCACCGGCTACAAAATCTGCTATTCGAAGGAAACAAAGTTTGTTTTGTATGTTTTGCTTTGAAATCTCTTTAGAGCCGAGCGTCGTCGTATTGACCAGGATAACCTTAGACGTGAAAACGACGTGAAGTCGATCGAGGACGTACTGCGCGAGACCAGTGAGGACAGCTACAACGTGCCACGTGCCGATGTGGACCTTCCGGTATTCTGCACCTTATCGCTTTTCATTGCGTTCAGGTTCCACGGACTTGGTTTGGCCCAGTGGTGCAACACGCCATTAGCGAAAACAACAACAAGGTGCTGTTCTTCAAAATGATCACATGGGTGAACCGGTTTCACGACGCAGCATTTGAAACTGTCGATGCCCAGGTGTGTAGTCTGATTCTTTTCGGATGATCGGACATTTTCAGTCACGAGGAGATATGTCTCTCTTTGGCACTAGGAAGCCTGCGAAGATCGTGCAAATGTCTCGGCTACTACTGTCCCTCGCCGTTGGCCTGGCACACCAGCAAGAGTTCATCAAGCGCTTTCCGGAGCTTGTTCGCCGCATGTCGGAATTTGAGGATCGGACCTCATTTCACCTCGGAGAAACGCGTGGTGCTGCAGAGGGGCGTGCACGCGTCATCGAAATGCACATGAAGGTACTTTGATTGTTTGAGTATACCCCGGGTGCTGTTTGTTAACGGGGGGGGGGCTAACTATTTATTATGTCGTGTTGGCGTTCTTTCGGAGAAAAACTTTTAATATAATTTTACACGCTCTTTTAGCTCAAAACTTTCAAAAATTAGTTAAATCTTCGAGAACCGATTGTTTTTATCGGTTATTGATGATTTGGTGAATCCCCCCCCTCCCCCCCGATACACATACACACCGGATTTTTAGAAGAGGTCGACCCTGACGTTGGAAGTGATGAAAGAATTCTGCGAACTGAAAGAGTGTGTTTTGTGGCCTTGTGGAAACGCGGCTCTTTTAGATACGAAGAAGGGGATTGGATCACGATCTACAACGAGCTGGCTGCCTCCTATCGGCGATTTGGTGCGTCTGATCTAGCATTTTATATTAACCCTCCATTTAGAGCCGGTGAGTGAGCTGGACCTCCAGACTGAAATGACCGACGTCTTCGAGGGTCAGCTACAAGTGTCCCACCATCGGCTCATCTTCCACGACGAGTGAGCTTGATTTTTGCCGGGTGTAACAAACCCTTTTTTAGGTACAAAGACAATCTGAAGAAGGCGCGATATGGTGATTGAGAAGGAAGTGAACGTATTTTTGTTAGTGTAATCTTTTGTGTTATGTGCTTGTTGGATCGTAATTTTTCGACTTAATAAAAATTTTATCAACGTGAGGAGTTTGAGTTCGCAATTCAGTGTTTCAAGGCGCGGTCAGGGGCACTGGACGGTTAGCGGGGGCGGGCATCTTTCGCCTTTGTTTAAGGTTAAAGTTTTCTAGAAATGTTTTGGCTTTTTAGTGAACGAAGACTTCGAAAATAGCTATAAAACCACACTATAAAATGCGAAAGAGTTTTGCCATGTATGAAACGGTTAGATAGCTTCCCTGATCTAACCACCCCCCCACCCCGGTAAGAATCCAGTACCCGTTCAGGTGATGCACCAAGTCGACTCGGGCGTTTGGCGTCATGGCACTTGTCGTAAGGGACTTTGCCTGGATCCGTGTCTGAGTAGCAGCCGTACGGGACGTTGTGTCACTCGGGCCCTCATGCTCTCCCCGTATTGATCCAGAGGGGCCAGGGGACCACACCAACACCAGTTGCCCCTACGCTCTTACCCTTCAATGCTTCCAATGTGCCCAAACATTCCGCTTGCACCCTAATCGAGTCGCCAGTATAGTTGCCGGTGGGTAGAAGCGGCTTCCGGCATTACGTTTAGCGCCTTGCCTTCCTACTTTCTAGACGTTTTTCGATTCTGGTTCGTTTGCGAAGGGGGGGGGGGGAAGGCTTCTATTACTCTGCCTAATCTCTACAGGCATAAAACCTAGGCTATTTTGGTGGTGTTTTTGATATTCTCCGGCCAGCAAAAGGTTAGAAAAACATTTAAAAATGCCAAATATATAACTGTTTTTTAAAATTTTTCACGTGTTTTTGTCCAGGAATTCGACAATTTCCATAGATTTTTGATCTTTTATACGCTTTATATCGCAAAAAGGGGCTGATAGTTCTAATACACAGCTTCTGTCCGCCTCATCATCAGGTCGGATTTACATAGCATCGGCACATCGGAAACGATAGCCCCTTGATAATGAACCAGCACCGATTTTTTTGCAATAATTCCTTTCGTAATCGATCTTTGGCCATCCAAAGTTTAGCGCCACGGGGTACAAACTTTTACTATAGCTAGAAAAGCCATTTCCCAACACGACGACCATGTTCAGGGCATGGGCAACTCTGGCAGCTCGCTCTCAGAGCTGAACCTCTTCTCCAAGGGCGGCGTCTTCACGCGCGAGCAGCTGGACGAGTATCAGGATTGCACATTTTTCACGCGAAAAGATATAATTCGGCTGTACAAACGGTTCTACCAGCTTAACCCGCAAAAGGTACGCCGTTCTCTTCATTTTTGACTTTAAAATGCGATTCGACCTCAAAATTGTTCTTCTTATTCAGGTGCCAACGAATATGCAAGGAAATCGCCCACAAATCGTGACGCTCACCTTCGAGGAGGTCGAGCGGATGCCGGAGCTTCGGGTTTGTACGGCTTGACCGCCCCCAAATATCGAGCGTCTCTTTTCAGGAGAACCCGTTCAGACGTCGGATCTGCGAGGTGTTCAGCGAGGACGGGCGAGGGAATTTGACGTTTGACGACTTTTTGGATATGTTCTCCGTGTTTTCCGAGATGGCGCCGCTGCAGTTGAAGCTCAAATATGCATTCAGGATCTATGGTGGCTCTAAACTTTTTTGAATAACAGTTGCAGGGATATAAACTCAAGATAAAGCGATGAAACCAACGCTACATTTTTCAGATTTCGATGGTGACGATCACTTGGGGCATGATGATTTGTCGAAAATGATTCGATCACTAACGAGAGACGAGTTGAGCGATGAGGAAGTGGAGTTTATTATAGAAAGGGTACGTCTCAATCCCATCAATGCATCTAAGCCCTTCCTAGATAATCGAAGAAGCCGATCTGGACGGCGATGAGCGGATATCGTACGCCGAATTCGAGCATGTAGTATCCCGCTCCCCGGACTTCATTCGAACGTTTCATATTAGAATTTGAAAAGTTATTGTTTTTGTTTTCTTGTTGTACATATTGGTGTCATTCCCTTGTCAAAGGTTACAAAAGCTTTGAGTCAAAAGTGTACAGAACACACCATTTATTACACGTGGCAATTGTCATTCAAATTCATTACACAGGATTGCTCTAATAATCGCACCGAAAAGTTCTCGTATGGCATCGGAAAGTGGTCGCACTTTGGCGGCTCTTCCGATGTCACACAGGCATTTTGTTTTGTGTATTTTCTGCACGACAATTTTTTAAAATCTTTATTTCATCCAAACATTAACGAGGCAGTTTAAGATTCCGTATTGTGTATCTGTGGGGCGGCGCTTCATCGAGTGGTACAAATCGGGGTTAGCGGGCGTATTCTTCTTCTTCAATTACATCACCTCTTGACCGCGGTTTGAAGAGGAGTGCCGCTCCAGCGACAGTTTCCGCAGCAATGGTCTAAATTCGACCGATGTAAAATTCTGACTAGATTTATTACCGCGCAGCAATCCGGCTGGTAGGTGCGCTGACTCCTGGAAATGAAATTTATTGTCCGATCTCCGGTTTTTGACCGCGTGATGGTGATGTATAGCGATAGCCATCGTAAAATGCCTACGACGGGGGAAGTTTCAAGTAGTGCATCAGCTCGCGGCATGCCTGGGCGCAAATCTTCTCCTCGTGGCGCTCTTTTTTGTCGGCACTAAAAAAATAGCTTGTATGGAATGGGGAATGACGAAATAAATGAGGAATTCTTCTTTCGCAAAATTCTTCCGAAAGAGCTTACTAGTAGATCCTCCTATGCTTCCCGCATAGCAGCTGTCCATTAACGGGTCATCTACTTCCTGTCGACCGCAAAGCAAGCATCCATCATTGGCCGGCGGGAACTAAATCCCACTGGTAGCTGCGAAATGATGAATCAGCTTACCTCGTTGATAACCCCATTGCGAGACACCGGGCGTTTTTCAGTGGGCGGCGAAGGAGCGGTGGGTGAAGATGCCGTCGTCGACGACGCGAACTCGGTGGCGGGGTGGTCAGTCGACGGGTCGAGGGCCGTAGGGGGGGTCACCGCCGTCGGCGTCGAAGTCGTGGGCGTAGACGGGGTCATCGGTGTCTGGGGCTTCAGGGGCTTCTTCTCGCCAGGCTTCTTACCGACCGCATGTCTGACTCGGCGCCACCCTGCCTAAACATCGGGCTACTGTTGAAGCGAAGGATGAACCCACCGATATTTTGTCAAACCCCCATCGCGCACAACAGCGTGACGCTGGCGTGAGCCGCGCCTCGGCGCCGGCGGGTCGGCCATCCGGGCGTTGTATCTTTGTTTTTTTTTGGATTGCGAGTTCTTGTGAGGCAGCTTCATAGTATTTTTTTTATTCTAATGTCGGAACTTCCGCTATTCAAAATTCAAAATAACTGAGAATTTGAATCGTTATTAGGGGTACAAAACCGGTTATATCCGACAGCCGCGTGGCAGCTTAATCATGAGCAGAAGTTCTAAGGGGGCACCGAAGTGCCTAAAAGTGAGTTACGATCCGAAAAGCGAAAAGCCTATCTACGCCCGGAGTGCGGGAAGCCTGCAAACTTGAAAACTTAGAATGGCTTATAAGCCTGCGGCGCAAGCTTGTGAGGGTAGCTACATTCATTCATGCGCCGCCAACGTCAGCTTCGACGCCATTCCTTAGCCTGCGGCGCAAACTTGTGGTAGCTGCTTCATACCTCGTACCTGCGGCGTTAGCTGCGGAGGTTGGCTTCAAACTGTAGCTTGCGTGGCTAAACCCGTTCTAAAGCCTACGCGCAAAATTGAGGGGTCAGCCTGAATTTTTGGCCTGCGGCACTAGTTTCATCGGCTAGTTTCGTTTCAAAGCCCGTGGCGCTAGCTTGAGGAGCCGCTCGCTTGATTCCATAGCCTGCGGCGCGAGCTTGAGAGGATAGCGTCGTTCGTTAGCCTGCCGGCAATTGCGCGGTTGCACAAGTTTTGACTCAAAAGTGTACAGAAGAAACCATTTATTACACATGACAATTGCGCCGAATCGGCAAAACGGAGGGGCAATCGATAATTGGAAGCCGAGAAGAGGATAATTAGAGAATCGAGCGTGAGGGAATCGTTTTTTGAATTGTTCGAAAAGCGGGAGTTGCAGCTGAGGGCTCAAGACGAGGTGACCAGCGGCAGCAGGGCCAAGTCGAAGTTGTTATTGTTGGCGCCGGGCTGCTTGAACGCCTCCTCGCCGCCCAGCTCGCCGGCCACGGGCATCGACAGAACGACGAGCTTGTCCACCTTGGCCGCACCATTATTGCGCATCACTTGCACTTCCATCTAAAATGGTTTGGATAGACTGAAAAAGCTGAAATTCGCGGTACTTGCTGTTAGCGGGGGACCTGTAGATAAGTAACTTTTGTAGTCTTTCATGGTTTTTGATACAATGAATCATCAAAATCTAAGAATTCTGAGACCATTTTCCGAAACTTCTGACCAAGAATAAATTTTTCGCAGGTTTTGTTAGCTAAATCCTACCTAGGGCCCGATAGGCAAAAGTTAAGCCCCGCGCTAACAGTCCACTACCAAACTGCCCACCTTCTCTCCAGCCTTGATCACTCCATAGACGGGGGCAACGCGGTAAAGCAGGTTGTCGCTAGTTTTAACCTAGAAAAAAAGGATGTGAAAACTATAAAAACGGTGCACCTTGAAAGCCCTGGTGGTCGAGTCGGTGTTGTGCAGGTTGAATTTGCCGAGGCCACCGGTCGCCTTCCAGTTGAGCTGCGTCTCTTGGATGGTGATGCCCTGCGTCTTCGGGCCCGCGCCGGAAATAGCCAGCGTCTGCAAATCAATAAACGATAAAAAGCCAAAATAAATTGATTACCTTGACGCTCTTGCCAGACTTGCTCTTGGCGCTCTTCACGCTCTTAGCCGACTTTTCCTTCTTGCTCTTGATGGAGGAGTCTTTGGCCTTCTTGCTCTTGCTCGACTTGCTATCCTTCTTGCTCTTCGAAGACCGGCGGCTCTTCGACGATTCATCGGAGGGCTTCAGCTTTCCGGCAGCGGCCAGAGCCGTGGATTTCGGCTTCGACGAGCTGGACTTCTTGCGGGATAGCGACTTGGATCGGGCGCTCCTGGAAGAAAAAAATAGAAAGGCAACAATTTTGTATCTCGACCCCACTTTGTACTAGACAATTCTGGTTCCTTTTTATAATAAGAATAAATTACGTTTCAATCGACAAGGTAGCATAATTTGAAAAATTTGAGACCGAAAGCCAAAATCTCTGCGAGGAAAGTCATGGAAAATCTATCCTAAAGTTCGCCCTACAAATGAGCCGACAAACTACAAAACTAGACTTTAGCCAAACTACTCGACGCTAAAAAACTCACTTGGACTTGCTGCTGCCAGGCTTGGCGCTCTTTCCGCGGCTCTTGCTCTTGATCTTCGCCGACTTGGCGCTTCCGTCACGCGGCGCCTTCTTCTTGCTCTTCGAGCCACGGCGGGCCGAGCGGCTGGCCCGCGACTTCGAACGCGTCGAGGCAGCACCGGCTTTCTTTTTCTAAAAAGGAAAATAGCATTAGAATAAAAATATTTGAATACCTCTGCGGTGCGGCCCTTTCCGCATTGGACGAGGAATGCGGCGGCAGCGGCCGCGGGCACGACCGGAAGCAGTGCTCCCAGCATTGAGAAAGAGATGGAGGACCATCGGAGGATTCGTTAAAAATGATGAACCTATGAAAAAGTGGTTCAACTTCCGTTCCGGTAGGGATTCCGGATGTAAAAGAGGAATTCAGGCGCTAGTGGGCAAGAGGCTACGCGACGCTCCGCTGAAGATGCACTTACTTGGCTTTAGGCTTGGCTTGTAAAACTTTTCAAGCTTGGCTTGCAAATTTATTAGCCTAAGCGTAGAGCGAGCCTGGTAGTCTCGTATACGCCCAAGCTTAGCTTAGCAAGCTTTGTCTTCAAATTTGGCCTAAGAGTTGAAGAATCGGGTCTTCGAGAATCGATACGAATCTTGCCTTGTCGGCAAGCGCCTACAAGATTCTGCGATGAAGCTGCTTAGTTTTTAGCTTCCGGTTAGCTTGACCTGGCTTTGTCTATGCTTAGCTGAACCAAAATTGTCACATTTTAGTTTTACATGTGCCTAGGAGTCGAAAAATGGGATTCGTTTGCAACCAAACTAGCTCAGTTTTTCGATTTCCCACTTTCCTATAGCGCTTTAAACCATACCAGAATACCCGCAAGGCCCAGGCGAACATTTTGGTATACGTGGCAGACTTTTGGACCAACCGGGAGCCGATATACAAAAGTTAGGGGTCTCAGTAGATTTTTCTTATCGTTAGTATATAAAAATTTATTTAATTAGTATTTCAGTACTCTACTATCATATATAAAAACACGTTTAGGAGATGTTTGGAATGTATTGCTGACCAAAGTCTACGTTTTGTGACGTCGACCATGCGGATTGGGCGGACGGCGCTGTCAAGGCATGGGCCATCTCGGCGGGGTATTGGGCCATCACGTCTGCTTTCGTATCTACCAATATTCTTGCACATTACCCAAAACTTCCTAAAACATTCAGCACCCAGCTTTATCTTGAAATCTTGGTAGTATCACTTTTGGGGCAATATTGCTATTAGTCGTATCACCTCCAGGTATAAGAAATTCGTTCTAATGGTTTTTTCTCGTAGAGAATTTGGTAGATTATGCTTTTAGTATAATTAATAGATTCAGTGTTTATTGTAATTAGTTAGTCTCGACCGTTTAATAGCGAGTCATTTCTAGGAAAATTCATATTATTCCCGCTTCATCTGGTGAATTCGCTATGATGAGTTTTCTCACCGTTTTTTGAGACTTTTTATTTTTTATATATAACTCGTAAATACCTCTATTTAATGATTGATATAATTGCTATAAATCCTACTATAAACCGGTCATTTCCCATTTTTTGTGACGCAATCGACCGAACAGCCGACCTCTTTTCTGATGGCGCCGAGCTGGCTGCCCGCTTATCAGTACGCTACCAGTTTTTTTCAGCTGTAAACCCGAGAATTGTTAGACAACGTGTTGTGGGCCCTGTTTACCGCAAAAAAGGGAAGGGACACGACCAGGCACTATCTTTCTATCTCCAAAACAGCGCATTCATAAAGCCCGTTTGGTGGGTGAACGCGGCGGGTGGCTTGTGCAATTCATCTAGCATCTTTTCCTTGAGCCCAGAAATGCCTAGAAACTGAATAGCTAGTTTAAATCGAGTGTTTAGTAAAATTCACTATGTTAAGCGGAAAACTATTTTAGAAAATTTTTTAAAATCCGAATTTCGATCGAAAATCCGGGTTTTTTTTGCCTGAAATCTATTTTTTGAGGTTTTCAATAAAATTTCTAATGCTTTGACGTTTATGTCGTACATGTTTTAGAGGATTATGCTCTCGACCGATGGGGAACAGCGGAACGGCGACTTTTCGGATTGGGCTTCTTCGGGGATTGCGGCGATTTGGGGTGAAATTTTTTTAACTTTTTACTGATTGTCGTTTCTTAGCATGTAAATTCACGTGGTAAACATTAATTTTCGATAGGCCGAAGCGTTTTTTAAAGTTTGAAAAATCGAAGATTGTGTCATTTTGGTAGGATTTTTTGCCAGGAAGGCAGCTATTTCCGGTATTTACGGTTTCCCAATCAGAAAGTGGCTTTTTCTCAAATTCTAACTTTCAGCTCCAGGTTAGCTTATGCAAAATGAGATCCACGTCCGTACCAGGTGCTTTTGCATTATCGGGGGGAGGGACCCAGGAAAGCCCAGTAAGTAATTTATCATATTCAATCGTGTTATCAATAAATGTAGCTATATTTCAGGTGGAAAACTATCGAAAAAATTTGATAATGTTTAAAAACTCAAATTTGGTCAAAAGAAAATCGAGATTTTTGTATTTTTGAAGACATTTCGCCGTTTTGGAATATCAATGTTTAGAAAGAGTTCCTCTATTTATATGACAAAACTTGGTCCTAAGGAAAATTGTTGCCCCCCCCCCGATAATGCGAAAGCACCCCAACTATTTCGCCAGTACCAATATTTCTTTTTCCCCAGGCACCCCCATACACCCATTTCTCGTTGCCACCAACAAAAGGCTCAGCTTTTGCATTGGGAAATTGTGTGCGGGCTGCTAGATCGGATCTCAGCCCCCCCTATTTTTCGTCAGCGTTCGTCTATGGGTGCTTTCCGTAGTGGTGGTTACGAAACGAGTGGTGGGGCCGATTAGTAAGCAGTTGTTGCAGCTGGGCCATTCATTGGATTGGATGCGCCGTCGTCTAAAAGTGTCAATTCCAGAGGACAACTCCATGCTGCCACAACTACACGCCGATTCATTGGGCGCGCTTATGAACGGGTGGGTGTTTGAAGGATTTTCTGTGTTGTTGGGCGTTTTTTAAGTTTTATTTGCGCTAGAGGTATCTGCTCTCGCAGAAAAAGAGTTTTGGATGCGTCGCGGTGGCGTCACGCGTATTCTTTCACTTTATGGCTTTTTTGAGAGCTGTGTAGCATCTTCGGCGCGTCGCGGTTGCGTCGCGGCTATTAGGTTAATTTTAGAGCTTTCCTGGTAGCTCCCAGCGCCGATTTCGTCAGTAGTTTGGACGCATCGCGGGTTTAGGCTGGTTTTATTTATTAGCGGCCCACTGTTCCTTTGGCATTTGGTATCTGGCGCGTCGCGCCCTTGTTTTCCCGGCTGCTTCAAACAGCTCCTTGTTCCCATTTTTGGTCGAGGCATCGCGCGTGCGTCGCGGTTATTGGGTTATTAGGCAAATTTCATAGCGTTCTCAAGCAGTTCGATGTTTAGCTGTGTTTAGCAAGATGTTTAGATGACTTTAGCTCTTGCACGCGTCGCGGTTGCGTCACGGCTATTAGGCGGCTTGCCTTTTTGAAGCGCTCCTGTTGCCTGAGATTTGGTTCGACGCGGCATTGTAAACGCCAAAGCCCGACCGCCAAAAGTCCGACAGCAAAAATCCCGACAAAAAATAGCTCAGAATATGTCGGGATTTCGGCTGCCGGGATTATGGTTGGAATTCATTATTTTAAATTTTTTTAGTTTTTCTTCTAGCAATTTCGGGCCCATTGGCTGGCTTTGTGGTTTTTTCGGTTTTTCCAAGCGACTCAGACTACCGTAATCCTTGGCTTTTCAACCTGGTCCCCTATTTCGAAAGACACCGCCACCCTCCCCACCCTACGCGTCGATACAATTGACGGGCACCCGTCACACCATCGGATTTCCATTTCTGTCAGTAGGCGATGGGTAGAAATGGACAGACAGACAGATAGACAGACAGACACAGAAAAAGGACAGCCTGCCTCCCAGAAAATAACCAGGCGACCCATTATTCACGGGGCGATTCGCGGGGGGGCATCGGCCGCGGGGGAAATTAGAATATCTGGGGGTGGGATCGGGGGCGCCGGCGGGGGCATTCGAATGGCAGACGCGCCATTTTTGGTGTGGTTTGTATGATTTTTGGCCGAGGGAAAGACCGCTGTTGTTAAAAATACGTAAATATTTTCACAATTAGTAAAAATAATACAAAAATATTGATTTATCCAGAAAATTTCGAGTTTTACTTAATTAAGCGTTTTGGATGATTTTTCGACTTGTTTTTATGTTGTTTTTCAGCAAAGTAGCGACGGTGCCGCAGTTTTTCGGACACTTTCTAACGTAATTGGTGAAGCCATGTAAAATCATGGGGCCTTTTAAAAATAGATGGATCTGGGTTTGTAGTTTTTTAAGGTTTGCAACATGATATTTGCGACGTTCACCTACTTTTCCAAGACCAGAACACTTTTTCTTCACTTCATCCCGTTTTTACGAGCTCGCTTCGGTGGCTTTGGGGGGGGGGCTTATGTTGCCACTTCTGCCTCTGAAACGCACATAAAACGGGTGTTCTATGGGAGTTTAGTGGAACACCGGACTAGTGATAGGTTTTTAGGTGTGTTTAGCTATTTTTTGGGCATTTAGTAATGTTAAAGGGACTGGTATGTGCTAGCATATGCCCTCTCTATCGAACGGGCGCGACGGAGGAGGCATAGTGTTGAATTTCCTAGCGAAATCAGCCTTTCCGAAATGATCTCTGCTAGCTCGTCGCAAGAAGAATAAATACAAAATGTATAGATCATATGGAAGCTGGTAAAAATATTGTAAACCCCTCATTCCACTCAATTGGCCCTACTATTGAGGCTTTGTGTTGTTTTCCCGGTTCTTTTGGGCTGGTTGCCCTCATTTCATTGGAAATTCGAAAGTGCGTGTGTGTGTACATATCTGTGGCACAACGACAATGCCCTGCCTCCCCACAAACGAATACAAATGAAGGATGCTTGCGTGACCGGACAGAACTTAATTCCGGAAATATGCCGTTTTTGACGTGCAAGGGGCCAAAAGCAAAAAGTCCGAGTAGCGCGGCGCCGCGACACGCAACGCACGAGACGCTGCCACGCAACGCAACACGCGATGACGCCACCCGCCCCCTCCATTACGTCACCGATCTGTCGGTTTAACGAGCCTAGAGCCGCGTACGCGTTGTGGGTCGCGGAAAAATCTATAGGCATGCCTTGCCAGGTCCTTGAAAGTTAATGGGAAATCAAAAGCTGATTTTTTTACCCGATGCAACGGATTTCCGGGCAGTTTTATTCCCCTCCCCCATCCCCATATACGAACTGTGGATGCTCTGATAAGACCTAGCGGGAGTTTGTCTATGGAAGGGAGTGTTGATAGGTGTTTACCGGAACATCGAGTATTGAGCGGGAGAAGATTGACACTACCAGGGGGGATAGGCCGAGAAAAGCTGATACGCCTCCGCTCGACACCTATGCACACATAGCCGTAGTTGGAGAGAGGAGGGGCTTTAGATACACAATATTTACCGGGTTGTGTATTCAAAAATTCGTCGATATGGAGTGGGGCAGGCTAACAGAAATTGTTTAGGAATCGGAGAGAAGGCAGGATAGCAGTGAGTATTGGGGAATTCGAGGGCAAGCTAGCAGAAATCATTGGGGAATTCGATGGCATTCTAGCAGAGGTCTTTTGAGAATGGAGTGAGGGGAGGCTAGCAGAGATTTTTTGGGAATTATGAGAAATCGGAAGGGTTTTTCCTGGAAAAGACAGGCTAGCAGAGAGCGTTTAGGAAATCCAGCTATGGAGCTTACCTACTAAAAGCATTAAAGTCAGCCTTCTTTCTAAGAATCTCTGCTAGCTTGCCCGGCCAGATCAAATCCCCCCTGTTTTGCGTAACCTTTTACAAATACGGCCGCTGCAATCGTTGCATGATTCACAACTCTTTCTGCCCGATCTCTCTCTCTCTCTCTCCCTCTCTCTCTCTTTTCATCTTTCCTCTAGCCGACGCCGCGTACAAACAGTCAAATAGTGTATGCTATGCCCTCACAATCCACCCAAATAAGAACCCATCTGCCCCAGCCGGTGGTGAATATATTATTTTCGGGCAAACAAGCGGCGGTGGGCCTTTTTTGGGTGGATTTTGTCTGGTGATCTCGAGCAGGCTAACAGGGATTTTTCTGGAAATCTCCTTAAGT